TTTTAGATAATTTTTTTGTATTTACGTGTAAAATTTGTACTATAGGAGCGCGAAAGCATGTCGGGAAAAGAAACGAATTTTGTGAAACTATTAATCTAATTTATGTTTGGAAAGGAAGTTCGATTGCTTTAAAACCGTTTAAAGTCCAGTGAACGAAACTCATCAGAATCAAACATGTTTATCGTCACTCGTTAATTAACTTGGTTTAAGGCTTCAAAGCACTTTTTCCTTGACAAGTTCTGCTTGAAGCGTTTAACAAAGGAGATTAATATGATTTAAAATTTTTTTTATTGTTTATGTTTTAATATGTAATATGTCTTTTTTTTTACAAACTTTCCTCTTTGAAATGAAATTTTGGTTTTCAATTTGGTACTTTACTTTAATGTGAGTTTTACTAGTTTAATTTTTTGCACGGTTAGAATAGGTTTAACCTTCAAATATTTAATGTGGCATTTTCTGTTTCGTTCCCATTTCTGAGATACTAATATATATATATATGAGTAAATTAAAAAGCTGAATACTTGCACTAAAGCTACTAAGTAACAAATCAATTATTTATTATTAGAAAATTTTTTCGTATATCATCTCCAAGGAATAGAAATTTAATTAAAACCATGAATTATTGGATTTAATTAAAACGATGAATTATTGGTGATTGTAGATCGATTAATCTACGATCAATGCAATAGCTACCTTTTCAGTACTTTAAATTTTACTTTATATTTTCACAATTTAAAATTTTTTACGGCTTAAATAAATATTTCTATACAGCTTTTAAATAATTTTTACTACAATAGAAATCTAAATAACTTTAAATAATTCAATTTTAATTAAAATAAATTTTCGTCGTTTTATTAAATTTCTGTTCCTTGCAGATGATATACGAAAAACCGTTTCTAATAATAATAGTAATAATAATATATATGTATATACGTTTGGTGCTGCTAATTGCCATAAAAAAAGGAGGAGGAAAATTTGATGTTACAGCAGTTCCATATACAAAATTTCAACGTTCTGTGGCTAATCGTTTTTGAGCTATGCTAGATACATATGTGTACACATACATGCTTGCATACTTGAAGGAAAAAAACCCTTCTGAATCCATTTTGCAACCCGCTTTTGAAAAAAAAAGAGTCTTTTCTTCTGTCCATACGTACAAAGGTCACAATAAATAAAATAAAAATCTGAAAGGTTTCAGATTTTAAATTATGTCCAAAGGGGTGTGTTACCTTTATTTATTAAATATCATGTTCTACATACTCAAACTATTAAATTCAATTCATCAGCGATATCGCAAAATAATTTTAAAATAAGTATATCTTTAGAATTTCCGATACAGAGTTTCGTGCACTGGAGATAAAAAAAAAAAAAAAAAAAAAAAAAAAAAAAAAAAATCCGTACAGTATTGCGATTGCTCGCTTTGAAATCGTCGAGTTTGTTAATCAAAAATCCGTTGAAGTGTTACAAAATATGAAATTGATAATAAAACGAATTTCAAATTCAAATTAGAGCTTCCACATGCCCATATTCTATGGAAGATTACATTATTCAAATTGTGATGGCTCTAGATACCGTTGTTTTATCACAGTGTGAGAAACATAAATACGTTTTTATGAAGATTCTTCATTATTTAATTTCTTTAAATATAATACAATAAATATACTTTAAATATAATCTAATATTCGGTGGCGACAATTTGAAAAGTGATTCACTGTTTATAGTTTTCAACGCAAAATGCTAGAACGAAATTAATAGTCCTTCAGGGCAAATTGACCCTTTGGACTAAAAATTGTCCAAATGAATTCGGGAATGGTCAAAATGGGTACTTCTATTGAAATATGATACCCGAAATTTTTCGCAATTACAATACTTCCTTTACTTCGATAAGAAAGTTAGAACTAGGGAAGTAAACTGCACGATGGGAAGAAATATGTGAGTAAATGTTGCTTTTAAATTCAATATATTATTTTAAAAATACTGCTAGAGTATTTTGATGTGTGAAAATAAATTTGCAGATTGATATATATGCAGCTGAAGAAGAAACTTCGTTAACAAATTCTTGATTTTGATACAATTCTTAATTTAAGTAACTAAAATACTTAGTAAAATACAGTAAGTGAAGCTCTAAATAAACTCGATAAAAAGATTTAAGGAAATAGTCATGCCTAGACAGATAAATATAATCATATTTGTGTTTCAATAACTCATACTGCAGCTAAAAATATTCCTTCATAAAATGTAGTTTAATGCTCATTTCTTAAGATGTAATCTGAAAATTTACGTTTTCTTTTATGAAGATGAAAATAGCCGCATTGCTTTCGGAGAGGGATGCAGTTTACTTAACTAACATCAAAACCGTGTTCTCATACGTCAGCGATATTTTCGCTTCTTCTGGGCAGTTTCAGATGAACGGAGCCGCCCGAATCGATCCAAGAAGCAGACGACAATCCCCATTTTATCTTACAATAACGCGGGCTCCTTTCCAAATGGGACAGAAGAGTTATTCTCGACCTTGGGATAGTAATATCCTGAGACAGGGTTGCTGAGACATTTAGAAATATATCCCTTTGTATCAGTAAGTATCGGTTCCTTTGTTTAGCACAAAGGAGATAGATTTGCTGTGTTCCAAATATGCAGATTCTGCATATTTCAGCTAAATTATTCAAGGAAGGTATGATTTGGAATAATGAAGATAATATATAATGTTTCAAGCTTTATTCTTTGAGAGCTGAAATTATATCTAGATAAAGGAAATCCAAAGAGTTTTAAATCTCTTTAAGTTTTTTAATGAAACTAACTTAAAAGTATGCTCTTTTCTTTTAAAAATTATATTTTAATCTCTGGATGCTGCAGATTTCTATTATTTTACATAAAATAAAAAGCTAGTGATATGCTCAACATATTTTTATTTATTGTAAAACTAAAAAGCGTTTGAGAAGTGGATAAAAATACAATTTACGATTAGAAAAAAAATTAAGTAAAGATTACAAAGAATTTTCTTTTCTTTCTTCATACCTTCGTGGTGTGACGGTAGCACACTCAGCCCGAGTTCGAATCTCGGCGAGGGCATTTCTCATCATGTAACAATAAAACCTATTTTTTGTTGTGAATTCTTTAAATTTACTAAGAATGGTATGTTATGATATGGTTAAGAATGGTTATGAAAATTTTACTACACTATCGAAACCTAAATGTTATTTCGAAGTTCTTTTTTATTTAAGAGCGCCAGTGTGAAGTTGAACCTCTACCTGATTATTATCTTTATTTGATGTAATTTAGTAAATCGTGATTGGCAACAGTTGAGTTTTGACATCTACGCTTTCGAGTTTGTTCTATAGTTCTACTTTTCGTTTTAAGTAATGAGAAAAATGACTTTTAGAGATGTTTTTCATGAGTATTTAAAAACTGATGAGTAACATTTATTGCCATTTATGTTCTGAGTATTGCTTTGAGGTATCAAAGCTAAAACTAACACTTCTTAGACTTGTAAATAGAATCATAATATTAAACTGTTTGTGTTGTGACGAGATGTCTTTCATTGGATAATTGATTGTATACTCATTTTCCATCATAATTCTTCTGATATCGAAGGTAAAACGGGATATCTGGCGTCCAGCGACAGGACAGCGGCTGCATTATTAAGAGTGAGTGAAAAAATATTTTTATGTTTTCTTTTATTCTTTGTGCATTATGGATATTGTTTTAAAAGATAGAAAGCAACTTAGAAGGTTGTTTACTCGAGCATGTAATGCTTTTGATGAGGAAGAAATAATATTAAATCGTGCTGATAAAATTAATAAATTAAAGCTAATTGAAGAGAAAGCTTTATTAATGATAGCATGTGAAGAGAAATATAAACATTTGTTGTATTCTGAAAATACTTCCGATACCGAAATAGAGAAAGCGGTAGATGAGTCAGAAATGTATATTGATCGATGGAGATCTTTAAAACAGAAGCTAGAAACACTAGTGAGTGAACAATTATCTTCTAAAAATGAAAATTTGAACATTGTTTCGCAGCCGAACACTTTATTACGTTACCCAAAAAATAAAATTACCTACTTTTGACGGTAGTGTACGAAATTGGCTATACTTTTGGGGTCAGTTTCAAAAAATTGATGAGGACATTAATATCGATTTTCACGATAAATTTTTGTATTTATCTCAAGCAATGGAAAAAGGCAGTCCTGCTGAAGAATTAATTAAGAGCTATCCCCCAGGGGGGTAATAGTTACGAAAAAGCTTTAAAACAGCTGAAAATGCGTTTCGGCAGAGAGGAACTATTGATTCAGGTATATGTCAGAGACTTATTAGTATTAGTTCTTCAAAAACAGAACACTTCTAAAAATTCATTAAGAAAATTGTTCGATCAACTTGAGAGTAAACTGCGATCACTAGAATTATTAGGGTGTTACTAGGGAAAAATATGCTGCAATGCTTTTGCCACTAGTTGAATCATCATTACCCGAAGAAACTCTTGTTGCTTGGAAGCGCTATAGATCTGCTCATCGTAGAATTCGGGAAGTGAATTTAGATGATTCAGACGAAAGTAAAACTATAATTGAGAAAAGTGATTTAGAATGCATTTTAGAATTTTTAAGAGCCGAAGTCGAAGCTTAAGAACGCATTTTTTTAGCCTCTCAAAGTTTCAACACATCGAAACCAAAAGCAGAAGTAAAACATAATCTTTCCTATGAGAAAAAGGTAATAGAGAACAAATGTAAGAGTAGAATGTTTTCAAATATACCTAGTGCAACAGACCTTCTAACTTCATCTCAAGTATCAAAACAGTGTATATTCTGTTCTAATTTTTCTGGAGACTGTCTAAAAGTAAGAAAAATACCTTTAAGGCAGAGGGAGTCACTGGTTCAACAATCTCACAAGTGTTTTTTATGTTTGAAATCTGGACATTCAGTCAAGGATTGTAACTTGAAAGCTGGTTGCTTGTGTTGTGGTAAAAACACTATATTCTTCTGTGTAGAAAGATGCACCAAATAACTATGTCAAAAAACGAAGAATCACCTGAAGTTGAAAAGAAAACTGAGATTAGTGCTGAAGTGGATCAAGCTCTTTCCAATTTATCTTCTACTCCGGACGTAATGCTTCAAACATTCAAAGTTATAATTAGAAGTAATGGGAAGAAATGCGTCGCAAGAGCTATTATCGATACTGCTTCACAGCGATCATATTTATTAAGAAGTACAGCTAAAGAAATGAACTATGAACCTCAGAGTTGTGAATATTTACAACACTCTTTATTTGGAGGGAAAGACTCAGGGATATGCAAGCATGATGTATACACTTTATATTTATCGAGTGTGCATGGGAATTATAATTGCAACTTTAAAGTCCTTAGTCAACAAATTATTTGTAAGTCAGTGCCACCTACTGTCAACAAGCTTTGTCTGAAAGAGTTTAGCAGCCTGTAATATAAATAGTGTGGATGATTGTCAAAATCCTATTGAGATTCTTATTGGGGCTGATGTAGCTGGAAAACTCATGACGGATGGTCGTCGTGAGTTGCCTTGTGGTCTCGTAGCTATTGAGACCAAATTTGGATGGTCAGTTATGGGACGAATGCCGAATACTTCGAAAAGTGAGTTTTCATCATCGTTCTTAGTTACATCCTTGTTATCTACTGTGGAGACCATAACAGATCTATGGACTTTGGACACACTTGGGATCACTGACCCATCAGTCAAGAAAAACCAGACTGAACTGCAAGAAGCTGCTCGGTTACATTTTCTAAATACAGTTCGTATAGTCGATGATCGTTTCGAGGTTGATTTGCCCTGGTTGGAATATCATCCACCACTAACAAACTATTTTGACTTAGCCGAGAGAAGACTGAACAAAACTGTTAAACATCTTAAAATCGAGTCCAATTATGAAGCTTTAGGAGATGTTTTCAAGGAATGGCTAAAAGAGGGAGTAATTGAAGAGGCTGATAAAAATTATCAAGGGCAAGTTCTTTACCTTCCTCATCGAGAAGTTATCAAAGAGAATAGCACTACAAAACTCCAACCGGTATTTGATGCTTCGGCCAAAGTAAAGGGATTTCCTAGTCTTAATGACTGCTTAGAAAAAGGCCCAAATCTAATAGAACAGCTTCCGAGTATTTTAATACGCTTTCGAAAAGAAAGATTAGGTGTTATTGCTGATATACGAAGAGCCTTTCTTCAAATAAGTGTTTCACCTACTGATAGAGACTTTTTGCGGTTCTTATGGCTTGATAGTGATGGTCAACTGAAAGTGTACAGGCACTGCCGTGTAGTTTTTGGTGTAGCAAGTAGCCCTTTTCTTCTAAACTCTACTATTCAGCTTCACCTACAAACTGTTTTAGAGAAAATAGAAACCGGTGAATCCTTATATACGAAAGGTGTCATTCAAAAACTTATGCATAGTTTTTATGTTGACAATTGTGTCAGTTGTGTTAAAAATGAAGAAGAACTCAATCATTTTATTAGTGTATCAACTGAGGTAATGGCTGAGAGAAAATTTGAGCTTAGAGGGTGGGAGTTCAATGATATTAATGCTGATGCTTCTGCTGATACAAATGTGCTCGGTTTAATATGGAATAAAAAATCTGACACTCTAAGAATAAATACTGGTAGTATAAAAGAGTTATGTTTTGAAAAAGTGACTAAGCGCTTAATCTTACAGCTCATAGATTGTTTTGATCCTCTTGGTATGTGTTGTCCTGTTATCCTTATCCCTAAGTTATTACTTCAAGAAACTTGGAAGCAGAAGATAACATGGGATGAAGAAGTTGATACCTGTACGAGAACTACATTTTTAAAATGGTTGAAAGATATTGACTATCTGGAAAAGATCCATTTTCCAAGATATTTTGGTTCAAGGAGTACGAGTGAAAATACTTCAGTACATATTTTCTGTGATGCCAGTAAGCATGCTTATGCCGTGGTTGCTTTCATTCGTATAAAAAACTTTTGATTCTACTAAAGTACAACTGATACAAGCCAGGAGTAGATTTACACCAACTGGAAAAGAAGAAACTACTATCGCGAGATTGGAATTACTTGCAGCTACTATAGCGTCTCGCCTTTCGTCCTCAATTTTGTCTGAGATACAGAGTGAAGAAGTTTACTTCTGGACTGATTCTTCTACTGTTTTAGCCTGGATAACGAGAGAAGAAGCCTGGAGTGTATTTGTCCAGAATAGGGTGAAGGAAATAAGAAGACTAACAAATAAAGATTCTTGGAGACATATTCCTGGTTGCATGAATCCAGCTGATCTTCCGAGTAGAGGTTGTTCAGCTCTCTCCTTATTGAAATCTCAGTGGTGGTTAGGTCCAAGTTGGCTTTACTTGCCTGAAGAAGATTGGCCTAAAGGTGACTTAAATTTAGATGAGACTGAGATTGTTAGAGAAAAGAAAAAGAGCATAGTTTCTTCTGTAACAAAATGTTTAGTTTCTGCATGCTTGGTTACCAAGAGAGACTGGTATTACAGATAGTTTTCTCAATACAAAAGTATAGTTAATCTAATTGCCTGGATCCTAAGATTCACCTACAATTGTCGAACTGAAACAGTGAGAAAGCATGGAAACCTTGATTCTGATGAAATTTTTGAGGCTGAGAAGTTATTGATCAAAATGGTTCAAAAAGATTGTTTTGTGAATGAAAAGGATGAGAAATTAAGAACTTTAGGAGTATTCAAGGATCAAAGTGGAATCATCAGACTAGAAACTTGTACTGGGGCTCCTCCAGAAGATAGATTACGAGAAGCAGCTGTATTTGAAATCCGTGGAGTTGATCTTGCGGGACCAGTAATCCTGACAGGCAACAAGAAATCTTGGGTTTGTTTATTCACCTGCGCCATTTATAGGGCAGTCCATTTAGAGTTGGTTGAATCGATGTCTACTGAGAGTTTTCTACTAGCTCTTAGAAGTTTTATAGCTCGTAGAGGACGGAGCTGAATCATATACTGTGACAACGGAACCAATTTTGTTGGTGCTTCAAATGTACTTCAAGACTTAAACTGGAAGCAAATCACTGAAGACACATCTATACCACCAATTCAGTGGAAGTTCAACCCACCAAATACCTCCTGGTGGGGAGGCTGGTGGGAGAGATTGATAGGAATTCTTAAGAAATTGCTGAGACGAGTATTAGGAAGAGCTTCTCTAACTTTTGAAGAAATGAACACGACTCTCTGTGACTGTGAAGCAGTAATTAATTCCCGTCCATTGGCGTATGTAACTGAAAGTGATGCTACTCTATTTAAGTACATCTTTAGTCATGCTACTCTACTTAAGTTCATCCAGACTTTAAGTCCATATCTATTTCTGCAACATAATCAAATAAGTGGTGTTCCAGATCTTGATGACATTGGGCATAAAAGTCTTAATGAGCGAGTCAAATATAGAGAAAACTTGCAAAAGGATTTGAGAAACAGGTATAGGTCTGAATATTTAGGAGCACTTATTCAAAAAGCAGGAAACAAAAAATCTGTGAAAGTGAATATTGGTGATATTGTATTGATAAGAAGTGATAACACCAAGCGAATCAATTGGCCATTAGGTAAAATAATTCAGATTCTTCCAGGAAAAGATGGAATTACAAGACTTGTCAAGCTTAAAACAGCTAATGAACACTTGCTAAGATCAATTCAAAGATTGTATCCACTTGAAGTTTCCAACGATGATCCCATTATTGAGAAATTTTCAACCGCGAAGGTGGGAGGTGAACCTGTGCCAATTCTTCCTTTGATAACGTGTGTGAACTTGAACCTCAGATTCATAAGACTAGAGCAGGTCGTACAATCAAAGTACCTAAGAGACTAGACTTATGAACTACTTATAATTTTCTTTTGTAACTTATAAAATATTCACAATTTTCTTTTTAAGTTAAATTTTTGAGGTAAAAATATTAACTTAGGTGGGAGGATGTGAAGTTGAACCTCTACCTGATTATTATCTTTATTTGATGTAATTTAGAAAATCGCGATTGGGAACAGTTGAGTTTTGACTCTACGCTTTCGAGTTTGTTCTAAGTAATGAGAAAAATGACTTTTTGAGATGTTTTTCATGAGTATTTAAAAACTGATGAGTAATATTTTTTGCCATTTATGTTCTGAGTATTGCTTTGAGGTGTCAAAGCTAAAACTGGCACTTAGACTTGTAAATAGAATCGTAATATTAAACCGTTTGTGTTGTGATGAGATGTCTTTCATTGGATAATTGATTGTATACTCATTTTCCATCATAATTCTTCTGATATCGAAGGTAAAACGGGATAGCCAGGGTCCTTTGGTGTCTTCCTATTTCCGCGATTCCTGTTTCCGCGATTGTCAAAAACGTTCCTGTTTCCACGAAATCATCAATCTTCATTACCCCCTTCCCAAAGGGGTTGCATATTAGGCGGACCGAGTGGACCTTGGCCTCTCCCGAAATGTAGGAAAGCAAAAAATTTTTAGATTTAAAAAGAAGAATTTTTAAAAGAAATAGCTGAAAATATTTCAATCTCAGATCTTTGCACGAACGAAGCTAATACTGTATTTAAAAGGAGAGAGAGAGAGAGAGACGGAGAGAGATGTTCAAACTCTGCGATGATTTTGGCAATGAACTAAAAGATTGTTTCCTAAAGTAAAAAACAATATTCTTCCAAAAGTTCTGCATAAAAATAAGTTATAATAAAATCTTTCAGAATAAATATTCGTTCTAAAATGACGTTCTTTCTTCTAAAACGACGACTTCTTTGGTCGTAATTGCGCTTTTGCAGCTTTTAATTCTTTCATTTATTCAAATCCAATAAACTACATTTTCCTTATTTTTATTTTGAATTCGATACTGATAACCGTTACAAAGGACTAAAGTTTTTTTCTTCTTTTAGTTGCAATAATGTCTAAAATATCCATATTGATTAATATAATATGTGAAAATAACAGCTAATATTGTAGCAGAATTACAAATGGAATGAAACTAAAGATTTCGAGAGGACACATCTTTCAATCTAACGAAGACTAACTTATTCACAAAGAACCTGCCCAGCTCTTGAGCTCAACTCATCGTGACATCTCCTGAGGAGCTGTGGGGGGGGGATTGTACACTCCGATTTCGCGGGAACAGGAAGAATTTTGAAAAACGCGGAAAGAGGAATTCAGGAAACAGAACAAACGCGGAAAGAGGAAAAGAAAACAGAACTAATTCGGGTCCTTTACGTCTCTTTTTCCAATATGGTCAGATGGGGTCCAACTGAACTTCTGTATAATTCAGCTTCTTCTCAAAGGTTCTGGCATTTTATGCAGGATAGAGAGTGTTCATTAAGATAGAAATCTTCATAACAGTCTTCCTTAGAGGTTATAGAGTCTCGTATGCTTTAGTAGCACAAACTCCACGAGCTCTAGAAAGACTCTAGAGGAATTTTCCTTAGGTCTTTAAAGGCAAGGAGACAACTTCAGAAGGAGGGTGTAAATAGCCTTTTATTCTATCACAAAGAGTTAACAGTTGACACCACTTGGGTTTACATAAGCCAACACTTCTGCTTAACGTAAATAAATAATGTTGAACTTAAAATAAAATGTAATTTAGAATAATTTAAAGGCTTACAGAATAAAATAAACGCGCAAGAAGGCTCTGGCTCGTAGAAGCCGGCGAGAGAAGCATAATGCTGGAAGCACTTAACGCCACAGAATCAAATAGCTATTTAGTCACGGTGACACGTGGCCTCAAGTAGGTAGAACACGCTTTAAAATCAGCCTGCGGAACCTTCACTTAAATAGCATTTCTTTCTCTCTCAGTATCGCTGTTTAATTTACATTCTGGCATGAAAAACGTGGGTGAAAGCAGTGCGACAGAAAAGCTGCTTTAACTCAAAGTTAACTATTAGTTAAAATAAATAAATAAATCCTCACAAAATTAAGAAACATTTTCGAAGACCAGTTTATAAAGTGAAGAAAGCAACTTTCATAAAAGCACCGGCATTGATATGTAGGGACATTGTTACACAAATAGGACTTTCATTTGCTTTATTAGTCAGAGTAACCACTGTATGTTACTGCCGTCATTTTAATACTATAGTAACTCTGCAAAGGTGTTTGCCTTGGCAAAGACTGGCCGATCTATATAAAAGTGATGACATTTTTATGAGGGTGAACTACTATGAAGGACTCTCATTCAACATATGTAAACCTCAACTACTACTTTGAGAGTTTCCTTCAATAATTCTGCAATTGAGAGCTAATAAGAACATTTGTTTCTTCAACAAATCAAATTCCGAATCGCTGATTTTTAGTGTTCCTTCCGATTTCTTCTTTTCAGAAGAGAGCACCCTTTTAAAAATAATGACCTAACAGTAATAACTATTTAATATTATCTTATCACATTTAAAAATAATCTTATCATATTTGTGGTAAGAAAATTAGAGAACAGATTTTAATATTATCTTACCACATTTTAATATAAACTTATCTCATTTGTGGTAAGAAAATTAGAGAACAGATTTTAATATTATCTTATCACATTTGTGGTAAGAAAATTAGAGAATAGATTTTAATATTATCTTATAACATTTTAATACAAACTGATCACATTTGTGGTAAGAAAATTAGAGAACATATTTCAATATTATCTTATCACATTTTCATATAACCTGATCAGATTTGTGGTAAGAAAATTAGAGAACAGATTTTAATATTATCTTATCACATTTTAATATAAACTGATCACATTTGTGATCAAATAAACGCGCAAAAAGGCTAATGTGTGGTAAGAAAATTAGAAAACAGATTTTAATATTATCTTATCACATTTGTGATAAGAAAATTAGAGAATAGATTTTAATATTATCTTATCACATTATATTTAAAATAATGTTATCACATTTGTATAAAGAAAATTAGAGGAAAGATTTTAACATTATCTTATCACATTTGTGGTAAGAAATTTCATAATTTTCGAGATATTATACATATTTAAAGACATATTTATAATTTTCGAGATATGTGATAAAAATTTAGAATACCATTCTATAATTTATTACATTTGTGATAAGAATGCTGAATGGAATTTTAATTTTCGTTGAATTATCTCAGTTCATTTATGTATTTTTGACAGTGTGTTGTACCATTATAGCATGAGATTATAATTAACGGGTTTCTTTCCCATGAGAAAAAGCTAACGATCGATCAACACTTGACAGGGGTCTTCCGTGTAACATACTGATGACTGAAAAAGGAAGCTCAAAATATTTTTTTTTTTTTTTTTATTTGACATACTCGCTTTTGACCCCTTTTTTTACTCTTTAAGGTGAAGGAAAGATAAAAAGAGGAGAATGATTTCAGTTCAGACGTTCTAGGACTGCAGAGATTATTTCTCTCTGTAAAAATTATGATATTGTTCCTGAGATGTTAAAACCGAAATTCTATTATTACGCGAAATAAAATCCAGAAAATACAACCTGTCTTATGTTTCTGCCATCTGGGAGGTTCTGGCATTACTTCCCTTAATGACTTAAG